TTCTATAATCCAGTATCTGATTAGATAAAAAAAATATAGTTCTAAAAATAATATATAAATATATATCTTAGATATTAATATTTTTAAATTACTTTACTAATTTAAAGAATACTAGTTTTTTTAATATTAATATATTTAATACTTTATTCTTTTATTTTCTAATTTATTTATATTTTATTTTATTCTTTTTATTTTTTAATATTTTTATATTTTTTTCTTTATTCTGTAATCTAGTTTATCTATTAATTAACTATTATATCTATTATCAGTATCTAAGAAAAATATATATATAATTATTAATCTATATAGATATTAATCTTATAGAACTAGTATATATAGTATTTTTTAATATATCTAAGAATTCTATTATTTCTTCTCTCAGCTGTCTTCCTTACTACTAAACAGATAAAACTCTTACTCATCTATTCTAGGACACATCCTTAGTTCAACTATTATTCTATTAATAATTATCATCTTAATTCATCATCATTCCAGCCACACGTAACAAGTATAGATACTTTATTAAGTAGTATTTATTTATTATTATAGTAATTATAAACCTGATAAAAATATTTTATAAAAAAAAGATAAAATATAGTTTTTTAATTTTTAAAGTTTATAAGAACTTCTAAATACTTAAAAATATATTAATAAAAAATATAATAATAATATACTTCTAAAAAAAGAATCTATAAAAATAAAATAGATATCTTTAGACTTATAATTAATAATATATTATTATAGAAAAATTATAAGAAAAAATAAAAGTTAATAACTTTCTACTTATAGAAAATAATTTAAATTAAATAGAATTATAATATCTATAATCAGGAGTTATTTATATATTTAGTTAAGATAAGTACTAAATATAAAAGCTTATGATATTTTATAATAAATACAAAATTTCTGTAGAGATAAATCTACTAGATATAATATTTTATAGTATTTAAATTCTTTTTAATAAACTAGCCAGAATTAAAGAATTTTATAAATATATTATTATATTAACTAGACTATAATTAGAAGATAATAGAAAAGAATTATAAAAAACTACAAAAAATAATTTTATAATAATTAAATAATCTTCTAGAATTTAGGAGAGTATAAATTAATTTAAAAAAAATATAGATATTATTAACTAAAGATTTTATAAAAGATCTTAAATAGATAAAATCTAATATAACTATAGAAAAGATAATTAAAGATAAAAAGTCCTACTATAAAAACTTATTAGAAATATTCCTAAAATTATTAAAAAAAACTATCTTGTAAAGAATATTTTTCTTATAATATAATAAGAAACTTCTATAATTAATCTAGTAAAAAAAAGAAAAAAACTATAAATAAATAACTACTTATAATAAATAATTAAGTAAAGATTATTATATTTTATAATAAAATTATATATTCTAGATAATTATATACTTAAATTAAAGATTCTTATAAAGCTGTATAATAATCTTATTATAAAATACTTTTATAAAAACTAGAATTAAGAAGTTTATTATATATAAATTCTAATAACTAAGATTTATAAACTTTATATAAAAATACTACTATATATATAAAGTATACTAAAAAAAAGTAATTTATAAAAAATAATAAAAATTATTAAATCCTTTGTTAATATCTATATAATTATAGAAAAAGATAATAATAAATTTTATTACTAGATTTTTTTTCAATATAATAAAAATAGAAAATATATAAAAATTATTTAATAGTATACTAGTAGTAGTAGATTATTTTAATAAAATAATCTATTTTATATTAATTTATAAGATATTATTAGGTAAGGAACTTATAATATTATTTGTTAAAAAAATCTTTTATTTATATAGAATATTTATAAAAATAGTTATAAATTAGGAAATAATTCTTACAAAAGACTTCTAGTTAGACTTTTATTTATATTCTTATAATTAAATAAAAGTTAAGTATAGTTTATTATCTATAAACTAATAATTAAACTAAGAGGCTAAATAATATATTAAAATAATACTTATAAAATTATATTAATCTTAAATAAGATAACTAGATAAGTTAGTGTAGCTAACAGCTAGGTTAGGTTAGATTAATAAAGATTTTTATACTTAACTATAGGTTAATAATTAGTTTAAAGAAACTTTTATACCTGACTATAATATAATTAAAAATAAAATAATTAATTATCTTAATTATTTTTAGTATTAAGACTTATCTATTATATTTTTTAATTTTAGTATAGTTAAGATATATCTAGATTAAATAAAAATTAATCTAATTAATCTAATTATTATTTAAAAATATATATAAATAAGCTTCCTAAAATAAAAAAAATAATTAAAAAATATAATAGTATTTCTTTTCTTTTTATTTATAAGAAATAATAAAAGGATTCTAGTAATATTAATATAATTTAATTTTTTATAATTTTATTATTTTTATAATAAGAAATATAAAAGAATATATAATTATAATTTAATTTAAATTATATACTAAAGATTTAATAAATTATATAGAAAATACTATATTTTTATTATTAAAATAATAATTAAAAATTAATATAGTACTTTTAAATTATTATTTTTTTATTTTTTATTTAAAAGAATCTTAATTATTTATATACTAAATTAAAAATTATTTATATTATATTATATAATTAATTTATTTTTATAATAATATTATCTATAATTATTTAATTTAAATATAAAATATTATATTATATTTTTAATAATAAATTTTATAAAAGTCTTTTCTAGACTTTTTTTATATAAAATTCTTTTTATTTATATTTATTATTTTTATTTAATATTTATATTTTAATCTCTAGAAAAAGCTAGATATATTAAAATTATAAAGTTTTTAAAAATTAAAATATAAATAATAAAATATTTATTCAAATATAGATTATATCTTAATAAAATAATATATTTAGATTTTAGATTTATAATAAAAAAAAGATTATTTAAATCTTAATTTTAAATATAATTTTAAATAATTAAATACTTATAATATATGAGTTATAATTTAACTAAGATAAAAAAAGATTATATTTAAAAGATTAATTTATAAATAATAGAATACTTAATAAAATATTAAAAATTTAATCAACAAAAAATAGAAAAAATCTAGAGAAATATTTCATTACTAAAAAATCTAGTAGAATTAAGATAAAAATAAAAATAAAAATAACAGTCTAGATTAGAAAAAAGAAAAAAAAACTAGAGTAAATACAGATACTATATTATAAAAATTATTGATCAGTAAGATATATTAATATAATATATAAAAAGCAAATAAATTGATATAACTAATTAATTATCAAAAAGAAATTAATAAGAAATATAATAATAATTTATAGCTTCTAATAGAAATAAAAAATAATATAATAATAGACTACATAATAAAAGAAGATATATAATAATTAAAATAAAATAATCCATAAAATTACCAAAGGTAAAATATATAATTATATTAGAAACTAGAGCTAATTTAGCTTTTATATAATATTAAATATAAATCAAGTTTAGAGTGGCTAACGGTTAAAAAACAGGTTGAAAACTGAACATTCAAAAATGTATTTAGACTAATTAAAATCTGTATATTGTTGTTTCTAAGTTGAAATCCAATAGATATATTATATATATATATATATTACATATATATTACAGCCCAGTACAGCTAAGCTGTATTTAATATATAACTAATCAGTTCCAGACCTTTTTTCTATGGTAATTTTTAACTGTCTGGTATTTTACTGTATTGGGTTTGTAATATTCTAAAAATAGATTTAGTTTATAATATATATATTTATATTATAATATATTTATTTATAAGGTATTTTTATAATTATTGATTCTTATAAAATACTTTAACCGCCAGCTGTATTTTTTAATCATTACCATTAACCTGACCTGGCTGTTAGCCACTCTAATCAAGTTTTGGATAAAAATATCTCTTTAGATTCGAAAATAATAAAAATACTTTAATTAAATATTTCTATATTCTTAGTATTGATTTTTTCATTTTTATCTTTTTTTTTATATAGTTCTTTTTACTTTGTTTAATATTTTTTTCTATTTATTCTGGATTTTATTATATATAAATTACTATATTACTTTATATAGCTATAAATAAACTCCTATTAGAAAGATCTCTGATATAAAGCTTTATTAAATTAGATATAAGAAAATATAGTATATTTATATATCTTATCTTATTTTCATAATACCATTCTATAAAAAATATATAGACCTTTTTGAAAAAGCTATATATAACATAAAGATACTTAATTCTACTATCTACTAAGTAAAAATTATTTAGTATTCTTGTCATTAAACCATTTAAGTTTATAATATTTAAATATATTACTGAATACGGCTCTGCGCTGCTCACTTGCGCGCACCGCTCGCTTACTGATTATGTCAATCCCGGTGGAATACTCTATTACCAAGCAGTCTGGTCTGTGGTCCGCCTGTTTGTTGCCGGCCAAGTTGGACCTCCACTTACTAGGCCTATCTTGGTACAGACTGCCTAGAGCCTGGAGCATGTGCCTCCACGCACTCTAGGTTCCATACTCTCCTAACGCGTCCTGTATCTTCTAATTACTGCATTCGTATCACTCAAGACATCCTTTTGTCGTGATTTCATAGCCTAAATAGAGACACCGAATAAGCCCGCCAAAGCATATCTGTCACACTTCCAATACAACTAATATCATCCGAAGGCCCCACAAGACTGACTGCACCCACCTCACTTTTGTTCGATGGCTGCAGTGTCTCCTCCTGCGATAGCTTACTAGGGTTGCTCTGTCATCAGCCTGGATCTTTCATTGTTGATAATTATGAGTTTAAATCGCCGAGATGCAGTCGCATCAGCTGAGCGCGAAAGAGAAACTGGGTTGCCACAATTGCCCCAAGTGCAGAGCTCGAACACTTACCAGGTATGACCGCCGGCACTCAACGGACATGCGGTGAACTTACACTATGCTATCTACGAAGGACAACCCTCAAGTACGCATGCCCCCATTGTCCGAAAAAGTCAAAGGGAGGATCTCCGAGCCCGTTGCTGCAGCTTTCGTGGCCGGGGGCGTAGCTGGGGCAGTATCTAGGACTATTGTATCGCCGCTTGAACGTCTGAAGATCCTTTTGCAAATACAAAGTGTTGGACGGAACGAATATAGACTCTCTATCTGGAAAGCGCTTGTGAAAATAGGCAAGGAAGAAGGCTGGAAGGGTTATCTGCGGGGAAATGGCACGAACTGCATCCGCATTGTGCCGTACTCCGCTGTTCAGTTCGGCAGTTACAATTTCTATAAGAAGGTGAGTGAGGATCATGGATAGCCCTGGACTGAGTAACCAAATGTCCTTGGATCGCTTTTTCACAAAAGAAAGCACCAAGCCAACTCGAGCTGACACTATCACTCATAGTTTGCAGAGCCTTCTCCTAATACGGAATTGTCACCAGTTCGTCGTCTTATCTGCGGAGGTGCCGCAGGGGTCACATCCGTGACCGTGACCTATCCTCTGGACATAGTTAGAACTCGGCTCTCTATCCAGTCAGCCTCGTTTGAAGCGCTTGGCAAGCGAGGTGCAGGCGAACCATTGCCGGGCATGTTCACAACCATGGTCCTAATATACAAGAAAGAAGGAGGTATCATAGCATTATATCGGGGAATTGTCCCTACAGTTGCTGGTGTCGCGCCATACGTAAGAACCACGACTTCCTGACAGTCTACTATGACTTTAGGACTGACAGACACAGGTCGGCCTGAATTTCATGACCTATGAGTCCGTCCGCAGTTATCTCACGCCAGAAGGCGAGACGACGCCAAATTCCTTTCGTAAATTACTAGCCGGCGCTATTTCCGGGGCAGTGGCGCAAACATGCACATATCCATTGTTAGGGCCCCACTTATATCATTCCGTCACGTCCAGGCTCTTATACTTACTGTTATCATAGTGATGTTTTACGTCGACGATTTCAAATCAATACAATGTCGGGCATGGGCTATAAATACACATCAGTTCTAGATGCTGTTAAAGTTATCATGGCGCAGGAAGGTCCACGAGGCTTATTTAAAGGGATTGTGCCTAATCTTCTTAAAGTGGCCCCGAGTATGGCCAGCAGCTGGCTCAGCTTTGAGCTGACAAGGGACTTTCTTGTCAGCTTAGGCGAGACCTGAAAGGAAGAGGGCCACATGTTTAAATCGTAGATATCTATAAGTCTTCCTCTGTAATCAGACCTATCGCGTTGACATACTTCTGCCGTTGGCAATCACTTCACATTTAAAATTCCTCGGTTGGGGAAACATGGGATTGAAATGCACACATTGAGGTTAAAAACTGCATAGAATGTACAATAAAATGATCATATTTGATAGAACAAAGCGCAAGGGAAAAAGAAAAACTGTGCCAGGCATGTGATTGGGTGCTGGCAAGAAGTGCAGAGTCAACAATACCACACAGATACAAACCAAAGATTAAAAGTATTCAGGCAGTATTGGAAGATAACATTTCTAATCATATGTAGTGAACCATGGTGGAACCTGTACAATACAGGAAACAACAAAGTCAAAGCAGCTTTGATACCTGGTGGCAGAGGCATCAAGGCAGAAAGAACTACCCGTTATAGACTAGACTAGGGCACAACCCGCACACACCGTCCATCTGAAAATCGTAGACTAAAAATCTGAGCAGCTTCACTTTACCTACGGGTGCGATAGCCAGCTAACCTACAGGTGTCCCATCAATATCAGCAGCCATGGGTAGGTCTCTCCGCGGCGGACAGTGCTTGTTACGGATTGCAAGAAATCCATTTTTGTTTTCCTGCGAGGAGTATCGCTAGTATGGCCAGAACAAATGACTGATTGTGTATAGGTATCGACTTGGATCGCCACCATGTGCGCAGCACCCACCGCAAGGCGCCCAAGAGCGAGAACGTTTACCTGCAGGTCTTGGTGAAGCTCTATCGATTCCTCGCCCGTATGCCACCAGCTTTTATGTTGAATTCAAATTGCGCGGAATGATGGATCTAATGCATACCAGGTCGCACGGAATCGAACTTCAACAAGGTCGTGTTGCGTCGCCTTTTTATGTCCCGGATCAATCGCCCCCCTGTCTCCATCTCCCGCATTGTATCCAATGTGACCGACTCGCACAAGGGAAAGACGATTGTTGTGATCGGCACTGTCACTGACGACAACCGCCTTCTCACCGTGCCTAAGCTCTCGATTGCTGCCCTCCGCTTCACTGCTACTGCTCGCGCCAGAATCGAGAAGGCGGGTGGTGAGACTCTCACCCTGGATCAACTTGCTCTCCGCGCCCCCACCGGTGCCAACACTCTTCTTCTCCGCGGCCCCAAGAACGCCCGGGAGGCCGTCAAGCACTTCGGCTTTGGTCCCCATAGCCACAAGGCATGTAATGTCAAACCCGTCGTTTGGATTAGGCTAATACTTGGCAGAAACCATATGTGCGCAGCAAGGGCCGCAAATTTGAGCGGGCTCGTGGACGGAGAAGGTCTCGCGGCTTCAAGGTTTAAAGCACTGCTCGAACTGGCACTTTCCTCTTTAAGTAGTCACTCCCCACGTTTATGGGAAATTGAAGCTTCAAACCTTGGCCGAAGTGGTTTTTTAAAGAGCGGCTATCATCCAACCACTTTCTAGCTACTTCGACAAGCATTGCGCCATCATGAAGATTTTAGTAAAGAAGTTCCGGTGCCACGAAAATGAAAAATGGGTTCAAAATGTTCTATTGTAATTCTAGATCTGAATAGTTCACAATGGTAGAGCCTCGTGTCTCCATCCTCGACCGCCGCCCCCTGCGGAATAATCCCACGCCATTTGACCCTGTCCCCGGACCTTATACTTATAGATTGTCAATCCATCTAAGCCGACAGGTCCTCTCGAATGGATCTTATTTGTGCTGATTCCAACTTCCGTGCCGAAACCGTATCGCATGCCATCCGCAAATCGCGTGGATGCGTTCCAGAAAACCCCTGCGCTATCAACGCTATTCATGAATCGTTCGGCAGCCGTTCTCGATCTCGTGATTATCATGTCGGTGTGTTTTGACGAGTGGGTGTTGATATGATCAATCGCAAAGTCGAGGCTTGTTCGGTTCGCACTGTCACGAGGTACTGTCTTTACAGCCAGAACAAGGTCCAGGAACTCGGTCTCGTAATCAGACTCGATAGCATCCTGGATCAAAGGTCGCTGTGTAGCAGCAATTCTGCTCAGGAGCGCCACTTTTGAAGGCTGATCACACCGAAGCGCTACTCCTTTAGCCAGGAGAGCTTCGGCAACAGCAGGTAATATACTCTCGAGTACCTCCTCATGGACAAGTAATGTTTCTAGGGAGTTGCAAGCTGCCGGGTAATCGGTTTTGGAGTCCACGATGACTTTCACAGCTATATCAAGATCTGCATCCAGATGTATATATGACGAGCAAATACCGTCAGCGTGACCAAGAACAGGGATCTTGGTATTCTCCTGGACAAAACGGACGAGATCTTTGGAGCCCCGCGGGATGACTAGGTCGATGTAGGTATTTTCAGCGAGCAGAGAAGAGACAGCCTCTCTTGTCTGCACCAACTGAATAGAAGACTTCGGGACCTGAGTGCGTGCGATAGCCTCCGAAATTACCTTCGATATTGTGATAAATGACTCATTGGACTCCTTGCCGCCTGCTTTAAGTCAGTTTTCTGGAATATCTTCGGGTCGAGTTCAACACACGAACCTTTCAAAATAGCGGCATTGCCAGACTTAATTGCAAGAGCAGCAATGTTGGCAATGACCTCAGGGCGAGCCTCGAAAATGATCAATAACACCCCGATAGGACAGCTGACCTTTTCAAGGGTCAAGCCATCATCCAGCAGTGTCCTTAGAGTAACATTTCCAACTGCCTTCTGTTAAAATCAACCCACAAAAAAAGCCAACCACAATGGTATCACATTGAGAAATTACCTGGATCCTTCAAATCTCTCACACTTAAGATACCCTGTAGCATGTCCTCAAACTTCCCTGGTCGCGACAGGTCGAGCCTTTTGAGGACACTCTGATTCAGTATACCGGCTTCAACTGCGCGCTCAGCGGCGGCGACATCTCTCGAATTTGCTGCTAGTATATCATCCCGGCTGTTCAAGATGGCTTCGTGGAGCGCTGTCAGTGCGTCATTCCGCTCGGCTCCCGCAAGGGTTGCGAGGAGGCGAGAGGCAATAGACGCAGTCTTAGCGATCTCTGTTGCCGTGGAGTCCGTGAGGGACATTTTGGAAATGTTTCTGGTCGTACTTGAATCCCTTTTCTTTGATCTATATCACGACTCCAAATAAGAAACAAGTCAAATAGGTATTAGGGAATGTAGGAGGTGTGCACTTTTACCATCTGCAAAAAGCGGCCCAGTGAGTCACGGTTAGCACTAAGTAAATACTGGGTAAAGTAAGGCTACTAACCAGAAGAAGATATGTGGATCGGACCGGTTTGAACCTGCTATTTGGTGGGGTACCCCGTATATGTATATTGCTCAGTCTTCTCAGCGTCCTCTCAGGCCGGCTAACTTTGGTGAGCGTCACACCATTGATACGTACTTCAATCAAGGCTCGTCTCGGGAGGCTTACGCCTGGCACTTCCAAAATAAGTGAAACACATATCTTTGCATGTGCTGCAGGTATTATTGGCTGAGACTATCAACATCATCTTCGAGTGAGTCGGTGGAGTAGTGGTAACTACCAACCTACTCTTTACCTCATCTCCCTAGCTTATACTCCTCTTGTCTCCGCTCCATAAATTTCGGTGACTTCTGTATCCTGCATCATTGGGAACGCGACAGAACACCGTGCTAGACCTTGATGCTTAATAGTATCTGGACGCTAATCAATGTTTGATCGGTCTTACTGAAAAATTAACGAACAAGACCAATAAAACCATGGCAGAATCCATTCAGCACATCATCTCTTTATCGTCTCGCCTACATTCCCATGATTTCCTATCAAAGAGTGATTATGACTGGCAGATTCAGGAGCTGATCTCGATTCTTAAGAGATCCAATTACAGTCTTCTCAGCGGGGGTCTTCTGACTGTAAGCACACATTTACACCATTTCCAGGAAATTCAGAAATGGACATCCATTATGACTGCAACAAAGACTCGAATTCACCTGATGTCTGACTTTTTCAAAGGACTTAGATCCCTTCGAACACACGTTACCTTTCTTATTCGCTTTGCTATGCCAGATTGACTCGGTGCAAAGCAGAACTAGAAGCGCTTTGCCTGAAGACGTCAAGCCCGGCGGCAAGCTATGGTCAAAGACTATACAGTTTCTAAGAACTCTCAACAGTTCACAAATTTGTTACGTTTGGCGTGAATGGTGCCAACTTGTTGAAGTCATCCTGCGAGCCGCAGAGAATGTCGGCAAGGCGAGTCTCGCTTTTATAGACTTGTTTGCCCACCTCGACCTTCTAACCTATAGCAGCCACTTTTAGCGGTCCGCGTGACAAGCGATGCTATCTTGCGAGTGGACCCAACTGCCAGTCTTTTTACTTCGTTTCATCCCACTTTCCTCCGACTCTGCCTTCTGTCGCAGGCTCATAGCTACGCGTTACCCATCCTCGACAAGCATATATCTAGATATCGTACAGGCTTTGAGTTGCCCCCCAAGAACGCAGGCGGGTACATACTGAGCTCAGACAACTATACGGACAATCATGCGACGGAGGCGACAGACATGTCTACAAGGTTGACGCACAGGGATCTTTCGAAGTACTATCTCTACGGCGGGATGATATACATGGCACTTAAAGAGTGGGATAAGGCACTGCACTCGCTGAGTATTGTAATCTCATTGCCTGTTGTTAACTCTGTGAGCAAGATTATGGTTGACGGATTCAAAAAATGGGTCCTTGTCAGCTTACTCAGGCACGGCAAGGTTGGTCACAGATAATACTTATCTATTCAGTTCTTGTGACAGAAACTAATCTCAGTCTCATCAAGCTTGCTACGACTCCGAAGATGATATCTACACATGTGGCGAGAGCATATCAGGCTCTGGCAAAACCTTATGTATCACTGGCAGATGCATTTGAGAAGGGCGATCACCACAGGTTACGCACTGAGGCGGATTTAGGAAAACCAATTTGGCGTGCTGTAGGTCACGAGTCGGCAATATTCCAGAACCTGGAGTTTTGCTAACACATTCTAGGATTGCAATCAGGGCCTTGTTCATCAAATCTTCCGGGCTTATGATATGTTTCTTGTACTGAAACTCGGCAGCACTTTCTCGGCTTTAACCACGGGACATATTGCAAAGAGAGCCTCCTCTAGCTTAGGCTCGACAACAAGCATTGAGAGCTTGGTCGCATGCTTGGTGATGTCCGAAGTCCTAGAGGCAAAGCTTCTTCAACTGCAACGTGATGAATTTCCGACCATGTTACGTTTTCCTACGTCGGTGCGGGTTCACTCCAAACGGCGGGATATAACAAGGCTCGAGCTCTTGAGGAAGGGCTATACACTCGAGCTTTTGGCTCGCGGCATTGGCGAGAGAAATAACGAGTTCAGGATGGGCCATGATAACATAGACTTTCTTATGAAGTGTCAGGGGTGGCCTGGGATTTCAGGGAAAGGCACCCAGGGCGGTTTTGATAGTACTATTGCAGGAGTAGAGGAGGATATTATGGGTGACATCAATTGAAATGTAATAGATGCCATCATCTACTATGTACGGGTCCATATAAAGTAGTGCGATGTTCTCCGGCTTATCGAAAAGGTACTAAACACCCAATATATACATAATAGTATCTACTTGCGCCGTTCATCTCAGAATATGAATATGAGTTAGTGGTGGCTTTTTATGCCTGCGCTAAATTACCTGTTCTACTTATTTCGAAGATAAAATTAATATCTATAATAGGGATAATAATAATAAAGTAAGATAGATAACAAAAATATGCATAAATTATATTAGTTTCTTTTTTTATTTTATACCTTTATTTTATAATATATTGATAATAATAAAAAGATCTAGACTAGAGAAAATCTTTTAATTATTAATTTAGAAAATAAATTAGTATAATTATAGCAGTTCTGGTATCTCTAAGGATTCTGTCTTCTGTCTTCAGACTACCCTATAGACTGCCTTGAGCTAAGAAGAACTTTTTAGTTATTCTAAGAAATTTTGTTTTTTTAACTATCTTACTTAATTAATTACTAGTTTATATTAATATTCCAGAATTATATAATATATAATGGTATATCCTAGTTTTCCCAGTTAAGCTAGAGAATTTTTTAAGAAACTAGTTATTTTTTTATTTTTTTAATATTCTTATTTTTAATATTTTTCAGGTAACCTAAAATAATATCTTATATTTTTTTATAAATATATTTTATATTATAGTTCTACTGGTTATTATATTTTTATATTTTCTACTTTTCTAATTTTATTTATATATATAGGTTATAGAATTTATTAAATCTTATTTTACTGGTTAAACCTTTACTTTATTAACTAATTTATAAATTAAATCTAATATATATTCATATTTTCCTAAATTTACTATTTATATTTCTCTTAAAATATTATTTATAATACTATTCTATTCTATTAATTTATTTTTATCTATTATCTATTATTTATTATTTATAAATTATTTTATAATTAATTTCTATTCTATTATTTAATCTTAATAAATTAAAAGATATATTCAGAAATATTTTTATTTAATTATTTTTTCTTTATTAATTCTAAGTATATATTAAATATTTATAGAAATAGTATTAGAGATAGTAAAAGTACTAAATATAATTTTAAATTATTAATTTTAATATTTATAAATATATATCAGAATTAGTTTATTAAATTATTAGGTTTTATAATATTCTAAAAAAATTCCTTCAAATTTATCTTAATTTAGAAGTCTTATTCTAAGACTATTATTTAAAATAAATTATATCTACTTCTATATCTACAAAAAAGTATTAATATTCTTTATTTAAAAATATTAATAAGTCTTTTTTATATATTACTGTTTAAGATTTTATCTAATAGATTAAATATTTTACTAATTTAAAAGTATATATTAACTAAATAAAAAATAAGTACTCTTAGAAGTTTCTAGAAAGTTTTAATAAATTTTTTTTCTCTTAATTATATATATTTTTAGTTCATATTAAGAATAATATTAGAAGTATTATTATTAATACTATCAAAAGTATCTATATCTATAAAAATATTATTTTAAAGATCTACTATCTTTAAATCTTTATCTATTTTAGAATATCTTATAATATAATTTACTGTATTAGATTTATTATCTCTAAGTCTAATTTCTATTTTAAATATATTAAAAATAAATCTATAAGCTACTAGTATCTTTGGAAATATTATTATTAATATATTATAATAATACTATTATATCTTATTTTACTATATCTCTTAGTCTTAGAATATTATCAGAATAAGAGTCTATCTACAGTATCAATATATATAAGAATAAATAAATAAATTATAAGAACTGATAAATTAATAAAGTAAAGAAGATTAAATAAATAAATAGATAAAATAGTATTTACTTAATATTATATCTAAAGACAGTAACAGGTGGTAGTATTAATTATTATTAATAATATTATAATTAAACTAATTAGTAATTTTATTAAATTTATGAAATATAAAATAAATAAATAAATAGATAAATATATTTATTATAATTAGATTAAGTTTTATTATATTTTTATACTTCAAATTAAAATTAATTATAAAATTTTAATATTTTTACTAGATAATAATAGTTATTTACTTTAGACTTATATTATTATTTTTTATTTAAATATTATAATTATTAAATAGATAATAATTATATTTATATTTTGAATTATATAGTAAATATAATTATAATCTAGTTAAATATAATATATTATTATTTTATATTTATTTTTATAATTATATACTCTAAGTTTTATATTATATTATTATATTAATAATTTTTATCTATATTATATATATATTTATAACTTTAATAGCTAAATCTAGTTAAAGTTATAATAATTAAACTTAATTAAAGTAATAAAATATATTAAGAAAATTAATATTACTAATAAATACTATATTAAATATAATATTTTCTTAATTTTATAAGAAATATAAAAGTATTCTATTATATTTCTAATTTTTTTAGAAAAAATACTATTAAGTATTTAGATTATTAATATCTAAAAATATAAGAATTATTAAAAAATTATTATTATTAATATATATATTATATTATTTAATCTTATTATTATTCTACTTATAAATTTTATAAATATTATATAATAAATCATTTATTATTTAGTATTTTTTTAATTTTATATTTTTTAAGTTATATATTTTTTATAGGATATTTACTAAATTTCTAACTAATAATTATTAATTATATTCTAAAAATTATTTTTTTGATTTAATAAAGTAGAATTAATTATTTTATAATATTAAATTATTTAGTATTTATTCTAGTTTCTATTTATTACTATTATTTAAATTCAATATAAATAATAATTTAGTCTTATTTTTTAGCCTTTTAAAATTTTAGAAAAAAAATATAAAAATATTATATAAATAATTATATTTTATTAATAAATATAAATAAAATATTTATTTTTTAATTATATTTATAATTTAAAATAATTTAATAAATTTAGATACTAGTTTATAAATTATATTTTTAAACTTTATTTTTTAAATAAATAATTTAATTAAGTTATTTTTCTTAAAAATATCTATTATTTTACTTTTTTAAAGATTAAGATATTATATTAATAATATATTAAAATATTTATTTTTTAATAATATTTTATTAATTTTATTATATTTTTTTAATAATTATTAAATTATTCTAATTTCTTTATAATAAATAATATCTTTATTTTTATAAAATTATTTTTAATTTAGAATTAAAACTCTAGTATATAATTTATAAAAACTTTAAAAAAATTATTTTAATTAATATATTTTTATAATTATAATTATTATAAGTAAATTTAGTTTTAGATAATATATTAATTTAATAATCTTAATTTTTATAATAAAATATCTTAGATAATATTCTAAGATTTAATTTATTTTTTTAATTTAATTATTAATTTAAAAATAGAATACTATTAATAATTTCTTTCTATTTTAATTTTAAAATAAAAATTTAATTAAAATTAATCAATAAATATAAGTTTTTAATTAATAATTATATCTATAAATAATTTATATTTTAATTTAATTTTTTAATAAAAGATATTAACTAATTATCTTATATTTAATATATATAATATAAATAAAAAATAATATAATTTTATAAAATAATTAATAATAAATATTAAATTAATTTAAGAATTTTAATAATTAAATTCTAATAATTTAGTAATAAAATCTATAATAATTTTAATCTTAAATTATAATATAATTAGTAAATTTTTTAATTTTCTATATAACTAATATCTATAGATTATTTAATATTAATAAATTAAATATATTATTATATATTTTTTATATATTTTTTTATATATTTTTATATATATTTTTTATATATTTTTTATATATTTTTTTATATATTTTTTATATATTTTTTATATATTTTTTTATATATTTTTTATATATTTTTTATATATTTTCTTATATATTTTTTTATATATTTTTTTATATATTTTCTTATATATTTTTTTATATATTTTCTTATATATGTTTTTATATTTTTTATATATTTTTATAAATTTGACTAGTAGAATTTTCTTTTAATAAATTATTTTATTTTATTTTTTCTAGAATAATTTATTAATAATTTATTATAATAATATTATAAAATCTCTTTATATAAATTATTTAATTTAAATATATATAATTTTTTAAAATATAATAATATATTAGTAGTAATATTCTTAATCTTTTAATTTAGAAATAATAGCTTTTTATTATATAATATCTAAGTTTTTAAATTATAATTATTTAATTAAACTTTCTAAATCTTTATTAATCTTATTATTATAAATATTCTTAATTTTATTAGTTTATTTTACTACTAACATTTTAGTAGTTTAAATTAGATCTAATATATAAATTATAATCTAATTAATTAATTTTATATTAACAAATTTTATTAAATTATTTAATATCATATAAATACTAGGTTTAGACTTTCTTATAAAAATATTTTGTTATATTTAAATAAGAATTTTTTTTAAATATTATTAAATAATAGATTAGATATATATCTAAAATATTTCTATAATATTACTATTATAACTATTATTTATTATATTAAAAAGTTTAATTAAAATATTGATGAAATTAGTTTTTTCTAATATATATTTAATAATAAAACTATAAGATATTAATCTTATATATTAATATATCTAATATTTATTTAATCATAGTTAATTTATAAAGACTTAAAGATTTATATAATTTAATAAAGTTTTAATAATATATTAAACTTCTAAATATTAATATTAATATTTAAATAAATAAATAATAATAAGTAACTTCTAGTCTAAGAATATCTAATTTAATTTTATTTTAATAAATTTTCTTAATTACATAATAACTATATAAAATTAATTTAGTAATTCTAGTTATATAAGAATTTTAGTTATTTTTTTTATAAATATTAATTTTAATTTAGATTAATAATTTAAAATTATAAAAATAAAATCGTAATATTTTTTAAAATATATTATTAAATTAATAAAATACTAGTTATTTATTAAATATAAGATAATATAAACTAGATTTTTATAATTTTAATTATTTTTAA